ATAAACCCATTTTCATTTCCAGCATGTAATATAATGTATCTAAAATATATTAGTTTTAAATTTTATAGTGCAAATTGTGTAAAAGTACATTCCTTTTACCATCTGTTTTAATAGCTTTCACGCTTTTTTGGTTTCCATTTTGCCCAGAGCGACCTATGATCCCATTTTGAAATATCCAAGTTTCATCGAGGAAGACAAACTGGTATAAGGCCTCAACCTTGGCTTGATTGTTATTGCCTTAGAAATTCCACCCTTTTCAAAGCTATACTTGGTAGTTCCATGAGCCCTCGTCGCGGATTGTCCTTAAGCCACTTAAATCCAAGATCTCTAAGCAACCGCCTTAAAGACGTGGCACTACCATCAAATAATGCCCTATCTCTTAATCGAGACCATAAAGTTTGTATCGTAACTTGTTCTTCTGAAACCATGTGTAATATGACATTATAATTTAGTTAACAAATTAATGCAAATTTCTGATAAGTTATTATAATAAGATCTTACTTTTGTGATACATATTATAGATCACTTCTCGAATGGCACTTGTATCCAATGTCGCTGTGTTGGTTACACGTTTAATATAACTCCGCTTTTTCTTGGGCGATTCTAAATTTGCATCACTTTTCACACCCTCGGAAATACGACTAACTGTCCTTAAACTAATTTTTTTAAAATTTCACTATTATTAATATACATTACATATAATTATTAGTAACCTACCTCTTGAACAGCATTTAAAGGCAACAAAGGCCCGTTGTTGTCCCTTTCTTGCTCAAAGTAGTGCATTAACGAGGCCACGAGTTCCTTACACCGACTATTTAACTGTTTGGGCATCTTTATATACCAAAATTGCCTTTATCTACTCGTAAAATGAATAATTTTGTTTTGAAACAAACAGTTGTTGATTTACAGTATGCGGGGCCAAAGGATTTATAAAGATTTGAAATGCCACAAATTGATTCAGTGTCAAAATTAATACAAATGTCAGTTCCCAGTTTAAATAAGTTTCAAGGTGACAATGTGTCAACGCTGCGAAATCGGTTTAGTGCGTTTACATGTCGATAAGTGATTGGAGCGTTTGCAAAACATTTTATTTCGCATAATGCGTCTAAATTTATCAGAAAGCAACTTATGTGATATTTTAATAACAATGTTTATATGACTATTAACCATAATAAGAGAGTAATGACCATTTTACAATTTATATATCACATTAATATGAAACTGCAATAGAGCAATTGTTTGTGATAGAAACCTAGGCATTAGGTCGGGGAATTTTTATCGTGATGACGTGCACGCCACTTTGTTTGGCGTTGACTATATATGCTATAGTTTGGTACGTTTTTATCCAGGAAAGCAACGGAACAAAGAAACTTCTTCGTGAATGCAACAGATGTTGCCCCATGCATTGCCATCATTTACCGTCAACAACGTTATTGGCGGCAAAGCTTTCGTCCTAAGAATTTTGTTGTTGAATCATTGTGTAAATTATATATATTTGTTGATATCCATGTAATTTTGTGTAAGTTTGTCTTAGATCTTGTTTACAGTTTGAATCAAAACCTAAGCAGTTTTTGTAAAATCGGTACTATAGATAAGTTTTAGGTTAAGTGCGCGTAATAACGCCAGCCGAGAATCTTTCGATCGCGTTATTAGGAGCAAGCCGGAGAAATTCATCAAAAGAATGGAAGAGAAATGGAGGAATTTTTAAGTTTGTCCGTTTCTTCAAAATAAGCTGATTACTTTGAAAATAATCTTGATAGAAAGGAAAATAAGGCACACAACATTAAGGAAGGCATCAAAATGAATCCGAAAGTAGGAGCGAATAAGATTCGTGAAGAAAACAGGTACTGAAAATAAAAATACCGAAGTAAACGTTAAAACAAAACAACAAGAAAAACGAAAAGTCCCCACAAGCAATAAGGCAAGCAAAAAATGAAAGTTTCAATGCAAGAGAGTTGGTATAGCTTTGTTTGTCAAGAAGATCGGATTTGTGATATGCTCTAGCTGTCGTTTGTAACTGTTATGTTCACGAAGACCGTATGGGTTCATCGAAAAATGATAAAACTTGGTTTGTATTGATTGTGAGTCTCAATAATTTTCAAATAAAAAGTTACGTTAATACTAATTATTTTCTATGTTTATCTAATCAGTTTTATATATTTTTTTAACTAAAATAGAGATTTGGCGTTATTTGAGACAGAGAGTTCCTAAAACCGCCAACTGCAAAGTACCTATATCAAAAAACGAAAATTTGTTTGACTTGTTACAAAAAACATGGTACTATATTTTTTATTCTAGTATCTATATGTATACTAAGTGACATATAAATCCGAACACCCAGTTTAAATGGTTTTATTTTAATGAAAGTTGGTGAATGTATTTATCTTACTGTAAATAACAAGTGAAAAAATGTTCAGCCTTATCAGTTGGACATTCCGGTTTTTATACTGCTTTTTTTTAATTCACTAACGCTCTAAAAATGAATATTTCAGCCGCAGTAAAGAATCAACGTTGGCGGATTTTGGTTCTTGACATCCTTTACGATCGGTTACGATGCCTAGAGTACGGAGACCTGTACGATTTCGTCAACTTAGTGAGTTTGATAGGGGCCGTATAGTGTGACTTCGGGAAGCTGGACCTTCTTTTCGGGCAATTGCAGTTAGAGTGCAAAGAAGTGTAGACACTGTGGTGAGGTGTTGTCAGGCATGGCTTCGAGAAGGCCGTACGCAAAGAGCAAGGGGCACTGGACGCCGCCGTAGAACAACAGACCGTGAAGATCGCCGCCTAAGATTATTGGCAATAAGGGACCGTCTCTCCACTACCAGGTCCATTGCAAATGAATGGTTTGCAGAACACGGAAGACCTATTGGCATGTGAAGTGTTTACCGACGAATGAGAAGTTTTGGCTTGTTTTCATACCGGCCACACTGGGTCCTCCCTTTAACTCGAAAACACCGACGTAATCGCCTTGAGTGGTGCAGACAAAGGTCACTCTGGGATCAGGAATGGAACAGTATTGTCTTTAGTGACGAGTCTCGATTTTGTTTAGGCATGCACGATGGTCGTGCTAGGGTTAGAAGGCGACGTGGTGAAAGGAGGAATCCACAGTTTTTTGTTGAAAGACATGATCATCACACTGTTGGAGTTATGGTTTGGGGTGCTATAGCTTATGGTTCCAGGTCACCTTTAATCTTCATCAGAGGTAACATGAACGCGCAGCGTTATATCCACGAAGTTCTAGAACCCCATCTTTTACCCTATCTTGACACCCTGGCAGATCCAACTTTCCAACAAGATAATGCCCGACCACATGTTGCAAGAGTCACAATAGACTTCTTTCAACATAATGATGTCACATTGTTACCATGGCCACCAAGATCTCCCGACTTATCCCCAATTGAGCACGTGTGGGATATGATGGGTAGGAGATTGCTCAATTTGCTACGTCCTCCTCAGACTCTAGAAGCACTTCGAGAGGAGTTGGTGGTTGCCTGGAATGAGATACCACAGGAGGACATTGACCACCTGATCAGAAGCATGCCTAGGCGCGTTGGAGAATGCGTAGCACATCAGGGTGCATCCACACATTATTAAAGGTCAAAGGGCTTTAAAGCAGTGCAATCATTTTGAAATTTTTATCGTTTACTTATTATGCTTCGTTAAGTAACTTATACAAAATTTTATTAAAATAAAACCATTTCAATTGGGTGTTCGGATTTATATGTCACTTAGTATACATATACCTACGTAGAATGATGTGTAAAGCTAATCGTCTAGTGTGGCGGCTGGTTGTCCCATGTGACAAGAGGCCCCCGTTAATTTGAGACAACCTGCCCCACTAGATAATTAATTTTTAAGGTTAGATAGCGTCACTAAATTAACAAATTCAAAGTCAACACTTACGTTAAGTCGTATTCGGATCATTGAAGAGCAAAATAAATTCAACAGTTCTTTTTATTATCAAATGTAGTCTTGAAAACACAAATTACGTGTCAAACGAAAAATTTACTCAGGTCAGGCGATTTGTTTATTTTTGTGCGTGCGACCTTAATCTACCAACGACAACTTTCGTACTGAATAAAAGTGTTCTGCGCGGCCGCAGAAACGGTGTGTAGCGCGCCAGGCAACTACATCTTACGGAGCTGCTGAGATTTAATAATTATGACAACCAACCCATGTGACAACCAGCCCCGGTATCTCCTAAAGTCTAATTAAGTATTGAGTTGTAATTTATGATAACTAGTTAGTGTTTAAATAAATTTCTTCATTGAAAAAAAATCTGGCAAATACTTTGCGGCAAAACTTTTAGGACACACGTTATCTCACCTACTGCTTTTGTTATCTCACCCTTATTGGTAAACGCTATGTATGATCCTGTAGATATATTGTCGCTTATATCCTACACAGGAAACTATCTTGTTCGCGAGTGCCGATTAAAATCCAATAAAGCTGCACGCACCCTTCCTACAACATCATTTCCACCCTTGTATACATACGATCTTTGTATACGAAAGCTCGCCCCTGCTCGCTTGCAACCCTCCGCCGCAATCATAGAACGCGTGGGCGTGTCCCCACACTGCCCCCAGCCAATGGGCGATCACCTTCGACTGTGTGATAATGGCACGACCATGTTTGAAAATTATCCTTATTACGGCTGTGGAAAATTACGCTCGGCGGCCGCCATTTTTCAGGCCACGGGGACGCGGCGCGGCGTCGCTCTCTGATTGACCAATTAAATGTATTATTGTGTATGTATGGTACGACTTACAAAGAAAAAATATCGGTCGCTGTTGCGCTTTATATAGCCCAGTGTGGGGCTTGTTTACGTCACTTCCTTTTTAAACTGTATTTTTTTGCGTGAAGAAAAATGTTTCTAAGCAGATCACAAGGGCGGATTCAGGATTTCGTCTAGGGGGGGGGCGCATACGATATTTGGGGCTGGTCATTTTAAAACCTCAGTGTATCCTGTAATCATTTGTTTTTATGTTCTATTAGCCTTGGTTAGTATAAAACAAGGTTGAGTCTTCATGTTTATGATTATTTTTAAGCGATAGATCAGAAAATAAGGCAGGAAAATGACTTTGTTTAGTATGTATCTCTCAAGCAACATTGCCAGAATAATTACGTTTGCTTTTTCTGTCTTCCGATCTGGATAACTTTCCAACCATAAGCACTACATGTTTTTTCGGCACCGACCATAATTCCCACAGATCTGTATATTTCCGATGTCTCAGACGACGATTTCAGTGACGGAGAAAATATTTCCCAAACAAATGAGCTTAACCATGAAAGAGAAGTGCCTTCAGGACTTGACATGCTGGTTACAGAAAGTAATTCTGAATTCGAAGAAAGTAACGATGAAACTGAGCCGCCACCACCACAAAGACGAAAAACTGAATCATACTCTTGGATTGAAGCTGACATATTTTTTGCTAACCTACCTTCACCAGACTTTCCTGAACCTAACAACATTGCAGTTACCATTGAGTATTTTACAAAGTTTTTTTCATTTGATCTAACGGATAAAATAAGGTACCTGTACCAAATAAGGCCACATTAACGTTTGGATAGCTGTAACTGCGTAAATATTTGCGAAACGACCTTGAAATTTTAAAGGTATTATTGTAGATATGTTTATTACACAAGCTACATCGGAGAACTCAGAGACCTTTTCTTTTCATATAAAAAAAATATATTTTTCGAAATACTACCGAGTTATGTTGCCTTATTAGGAACCCATGTATCCAAATAAGGCCACCATCTGGTTTTCAATAAAACCACAATCAAAATGTAAATCAAGACTGTATAATAAACGAAGCTATATTTCTAATTAAACAAAATTAAAAAAACACTGAAATCCAGACAGATTTAAATAAAAAAGTCAACTTGTTTAAAGAAAATCATACAGAATCTTAGATTTTGCCTTCGCAATGATGACAAACAAAGGATACTTTATCACCTCTACACACATTCCTCATGGACATATCTTAAGCATACTACACACAGACGCATGACACGTACTTCATCCTTATCGCATATGAAACAGTACCGGTTTTCGTCTTTATTCTTTCGGGACCTTTTGCTTTTAACGGTTCCAGACTCACTAGATTTTTTTATTGTTTTATCTGAGCCGGATGGACCTGGATTTGGGTCTTTAAACAAATCTCTTACGGCGATTTGCGCAGTAGAATTGATGGCTTTTCGTCTTTTTGTGGCGTTGGCCTTCCATTCGGGTGTGGGAAGTACTTCCCTGAAACTTAGATCCAATTGATCACTGTCTATTTGACCAGTCACAAGATTTGTTGTTTCAAGAACTGCAAACTTTTGAGTCGAGTTTATTTCTTTTTCATTAGAAGTAGCTGTTATCTGTAACATTGAAGTTCCGTTGGCCATCAGTAGTGCAAGGGGTATGTCATCAGATTCTGTAAAGCTGACATCATGGTTTTCCTCATTCTCCTCCTGAACATCTGTAGCTGCCGTATTTGAATCGGGTCTTTCTGACATTAAACTACAGTATATTCAGATAAGAGATAGACCGGATGTAAACAAAAGGTTCGGGTGATTTTCACGCTAACGCCGCCGTCTCGACGTAAAACAGGAGCCCTCATTGGTCAATTCGCAATTAAATGCCTACGCCGAGCGGCAGAGCAGTCGTATCAAGGCAGAGTCACATTCAGGTTCAGACGTGTTACGTATGTCGTGTGCATCATTGCAATTTGATATTTCTTTGGACGTTTTCGTTTGGTATCTTATTAAGTTGTTGAGTTTGTCGTTGTTATTGTTATACCTTGTTATTGATTGTTATTGTTATCAACTGCTTGCGCAAAACGCCCAGTAGTACAGATACTGCCGATGAAGTTGTAAACTCCTGTAGTCCACCTAGGAAACGCTCTAAAAAAAGACACCTGAGTGCAGAAATGAAAGAGGTCATTTTGAATATATATAAGATCGAGCGCGAGGAGAACGAGGCATCAACCATCAAAGAAATTGTTGTGAAGGTTTCTCACAAAGTTGGGGTGTGTCGCGCATCAGTGTTTAATGTGTTAAGACAATACAAAAAAAATCACACCTTTTCTGAGCCAATGACCAGTAAACATCGCAAAAGTATTGTTAAATCATTAGATGAAGCTGACAAGCATGCGATTAGGAGGAAAGTGCATGAATTCTTCTTTAGGAATGAAATACCTACTATAGATAAGGTACTGCAGGAGGTAAATGGAGATACAACGTTGCCAAATTTCAAACGATCAACTTTCCATGCGTTACTGAAGCATTTAAATTTTAAATGGAAAAAACGGGGTCGTAATAGTTTACTACTGGATAGAGAAGAAATTGTGCTATGGAGGAGGGATTATTTAACAAAAATTGGCAAATATAGAAATCAAAACAGGAAGATTTATTACCTTGATGAAACGTGGGTAAACGCAGGACACACTACAAGTAAAGTATGGGTTGATGATTCTGTAACTTCATCCAGGAGGGCCTTTCTAGATGGACTGTCCACCGGATTAAAAAATCCAGCAGGTAAATACGAGTAATAGACAACAATCGGATGTTTTTCAAACCTTGGGAACAAGGTTCTAAACATTAATTCCAGGGGGCAGATAAAACATATTACAAGTAACAAAACTTTTATAACTTTCGATAAAATGCGTGGATGTTTTATTGTCATTTTCATTTGTTAGAACTTTTTTAAGCCATGTTTTTATGTGTTTTCGATATTTCAATAATTTTTTAATATAATCTTAAAATATGTCGAATATTATAAACTTAAAAAAAGTTACTAAGTTTTATATTGTGTAGGGTTCCTAATATTTCTAATCATTTTAATTCATACTTTAAGCTTTATAAAGTTATAATTTGTTAATATTAATATTTGCGCGTATTTCAGGTTCCTGATCATTCATTATTTAAAGGTTTATAACTTTAAATTAAATTGTGAAGCGCTGAGTAATCATACGACGTTCAATATTCTTTCTTTCAATATGACTAAATAATCCCAATTATAGCAATCTGATACTCATGTCTCAATGTTTTTTCGCTGAATGTGATGAAAACATTTGAAAAAGGTTCGCTTATTTAAATAAATCTACACCAGTTAGTACTTCGATTTCCAGGTAAAGGGAAAAGGCTCATTATCTGCCATATTGGCAGTGAGGATGGATTTGTTGTTGACAGTCTGTGGTGCTTTGAGTCTAAGAAAACTGGAGATTACCACGAGGAAATGAATGGCGAATCGTTTGAACAGTGGTTTTCAAACATTTTACCGAACTTAGAGGAAAACGCAGTAATTGTGTTGGATAATGCGCCTTATCATTCTCGAAGAATGGAGAAGGTCTCAACAACGGCTTCAAGGAAAGTTGATGTTCAAAATTGGCTCCGCTCGAAAAATATCAACTTTGAAGAAGCAATGCTGAAAGTACAATTATTAAGAATTGTCAAGGATCACAAGGCGGAATATCAAAAATACGCCATTGACGAAATGGCAGCAAGTCAAAATAAAACTGTGCTCTGTTTACCTCCATACCATTGCGAGTTCAATCCCATTGAGCTCATATGGGCAGAGGTTAAAAATTATATAGCTAAGCACAATACAACTTTTAAATTTTGTGACCTCAAAGGACTTTTCAAAGAAGCACTAGAATTAATAACAGCGCAAAAATGGGAAAACTGTATTAAGCACGTGAAAGACAAAGTTGAAAAGAGAATGTGGGAACTGGACAATATTTTACAGGAACAAGTCGAGCCATTCATTATTGACGTTGGTGCTTCAGGCAGTAGCGATGATGAAAGCTCATCAAGCTCATCTTTCCAATAAAAGATGTCGTTCATCAAATTCGGTAAGTTATAAGTAATTATAAAGCTACTGTATTTTTTAATTAGTTATTGACATTTTTGAACCCATTTTGGCAAAACCTATTCAAGAATCTACTTTCTCACAATGTTCAACCATGCACATTTTTTTACGTTTTGAACGTTTTAATTTGGTTACATATTTACCTAGAAATCAAAAAATATACTAATCAATATTCTAAAAGCAATTTTAAGAGATATACGATTATTTTTAATTTAGGCTAATTTAAACGCCATTTTGAGATTATATTCGACTGTATTTCACCAAACATCAGGCGGCATCCTAAGCTGGAAATCGAAGCGAAAATTTTGAAACCCTTATGTATATTTACATCATTATATATTTCTTACCCCACCCCCACATTATCCTATATCCATCACCAATCGTATACACATCGAATTGTGCTAATTTACTACAAAGTTACGCAAAGCAGCATCTACTATCTAAAATATGTACTGCGTGACTCTTAATACGTCCCTGCCGAATGTTACAGCGTTCGATGATCACGTGGTCTTGTTTATGTCCGGTCTATCTCTTATCTGAATATACTGTAGGTGTAAATGCAGTCTCCGGGATCGCAGCTGGGTCGTGTGGGTATATTCCTGTTGCGCGAAATCCTGACTGAAGATTTTCAGAAGACATGGCCCTTGGATACACTTTCCTCAAAATTTCTCCAAATCTTGCACGATTCAACTTCCTGCCAGGATACCGCTTGTAATGGTTAAGTATTTCATTTTCCCAATGATATTCGAAACTGCGGAAAACACATTTATCCAGCGGTTGCAGCACGTGTGTCGAGTTACTCGGAAGACACAATAAAGTGATGTGATGTTTTTCGGCGGCGTCAACAATAGTTGCATCCAAATGAGAAGAGGCACCATCAAAAATGAGAAGAATATCTCCTGGTGGCTTATAGTTTGCTAGATGGTCTAGCCATTTAACAAACACTGCTGCCGTCATACTTCCTTTTTGGGTCATTTCAATTACTGTTCCGGTTGGCATATTGTCACCCCATTCATCTTTTTTACGTTTTCCCTTGAACAGGACCATTGGTGGTATTGCCTGTCCAATAGCATTTCCACATGCAACTATTGTGGAATTTTCTGCGTGCTCATTAGCTACATAGCGAACACGTCTTTCACCTTTCCTCACCAACACATTTGGTTGGCGGTGGATGGTGAGTCTGCACCCCTTCTCATCTACATTGTAGATACGATGGGGCTGATTGATTAGGTTTAGTCTAATCAGCAAACTTTCTAGTTTTTTGAAGTAGTCCTTTACAATGTACTTATTTACTTTCTGTGCCCTAGCTGGATTTAAAACCTGTGCTTTCCTTTGGCGAATATTTTCATGTCTGTCCAAAAACAACTTCAACCATTTTTTACCTGCCATTCCACTACTTTCATTAAATGTGTGACGAATTTTTTTGTCATTAACATAGGAAAAGACGGATTTTCGCAAAATCTTTGGTGTAAGGGGCATTCCTGTATCCGATAATCGGATTATCCTTGAGCATAGTTCATCTTCCTGCTCTCTAGACAAAATTGTACGGGTACCAAGTTTTCTTTCTCGCACACCTGTACGAACATGATTGCGAAGTGTTCTTCGTGGAATTTGGTATTCTTTGGATGCACGATTTACCGACGTTCCACTGTTTATACTATCCAGTGCTTGTACAAGCGCTTCGGTTGACCACAGCGCCCTTTTCTTAGAGGGCATATTTCGACTATAGTCTCTGAAAAAAAAAACATCTTAATTTAAGACATCTGCCGTAATGGCCAGCGTGTTCCTAATAAGGCCAAGTGGCCGTAATAGGAACCGTTTATCATGGCCTTATTAGGCTCATATAACCTTAAACATACAATTTATAAAATACAAAGTATTTAAAACCTGGCGACGACAAATAACTAGCTGTATCTGTTCTATAGACTTACCTGATTGAACTGACAACAGATTTCGCAAAAAGAAGCAGACAACATGAAAAATCGAAGACAAATTTAAAGTAGTACCACACCTGCTACATTTATGGGTGCTAACTCATCTCAATGAATGTATAGAACTGTAGACATCTTTAATTCTAGATGTAACTAGTGTCTGTAAAATCGACGCATGGCCTTATAAGGAGCTTGGCCTTATTTGGTACAGGTACATTAGTCTATCAGACAAATCTTTATAGTACTCAGCAACTTGGGCAATGTATTGATACAAATCCGTCAGAAATAACGGATTTTCTATCTATACTCTTGATTATGGTTGTAATAAAACTTCCTGCCATAGAAGATTTTTGGGCAGTTAGTACAAGAGTAGATCACGTGGCCAATATAATGCCTCTGAAGAGGTTTCAGAAACTAAGACGGTTTATCCATTTCAATGATAATATTAACACAACAGACCAAAGAATCGATATTTCAAAATTAAACCCTTATTAGAAATTGTACGCAAGAACTGTTATAAACTCCAGTTTGAAGATTAATACTCAATTGGTGGAACAATGGTGTCTTAAAAAGGCACATATGTGGGCAACTTGAAGCAGTATATCCAAAATAATCCCCACAAATGGGGGTTTAAATTTTTTATTCGCGCTGGGGTTTCTGGTTATATTGCCGACTTCATATCCTATCAGGGAGCTGCGCCAGTTGAAATGCTCAGAGGATCTCCGAATGAGTTAGATGATTATGAAGTAAATCTAGGTGTAGGTGCTAGCGCAGTCATTTCTCTGTGCAACACCTTAAGCGAACCGAAAAACACTGTTATATTCTGTGACAATTGGTTTTCAAGTGTAAAATTATTTATTTATCTGAAAGACCCATTCGGGATACTGAGTTTAGGAACAGAATAGCTGGATGTCAACTTGAAACCGATAAAGTGCTTCAAAAGGGAAGAGGTTCCTACGTTTATAAAGCAGATACAGACAAGGGTATAATAGTAGTAAAATGGGCTGTCAATAAATGTGTTCTATTAGCAAGTACTTACATTCTGTGGCCTAAATCCCGTAAAATCGATAAAAAGATATTCGAAAGTGGAAAAGAAAACAATTGCCATCCCTTATCCATCCGTTATAACGCAATACAATAAGCACATGGGCGGTGTCGATAAGGCCAATTCATTACTTGGTCCAAGCAGATCGAAAAGATGGTACTTCCCAATTTTCAAATGGGTTCTTGATATGTCAGTGATCAACGCCTGGCTTCTGTATAGAAAGACTGCAACACAGCACGTGTAAAGTCAAAACCGCTAAAGGAGTTCCGTATGGCCAACGCAGGAAAACAAAGTTCTCGTGGCAGACCATCCATTTCCTCGACTAATAAAACCCCTGCGAAAATCATATCAAACCCTATACTGCCGAGACCTGATATCACCACCCAAAAAGATGGCATATGTCATTGGCCAACTTACGGTACAAAAGGTAGATGCAGGCACTGTGCCAATGGACTTACAACAATCTTTTGTACCAAGTGCAATCTTAGGCTTTGTTTCACGCCAAATAAGAATTGTTTCTACCTTTGGCATTCCAATTAGATTTAGCTGTTTCATCACATTGTATTTTGTGAAACTGGAAATATATATTTTGTTTATTTCTTGATATTCGTTTTATAAATAAATGATTTGAAATGTATAGTTGTATTTCCATATAAACCAGTGAAATTAGGTTTACCTTTATCGGTCAATGTTGCTTGCAAGTAACAATAGAACCTATACTTTATCTCGCAATGTTGCTTGCAAGCAACTAATTCTAATCATTTTCCCAGGTTATTTTTCATTTTTTATAATATCTTATGTCATCTATAAGTCATAACTGATAACCTATGTCAATATTAGATTTTTTCAATGTGTCGCGCAAAGGTAGATCCAGGGTCAAATCCATTGTGTTCTATCTGGTCAAGGCCAGCTTGAAAAATAGGCATGGAAATTGTTCAGAAATTCTCAGAAAGCCAATATTTTATTATATGAGAACAAATTAAGTACGTGGCATTCATAATTAACTAGTTTAATAATATTAAAGATTCAAACATAAAAAAATTCATTGCTCTGTTAATCGACAAAAAATATACGTAAATAAAACCCCGAGACATATCCCAGCCCATTCCACACAAAACAATGTTCTTTGATTGCGAAAACGAACATGAGACCAAAAAATTTAGATTATCGTGGACGCTAGATAATATACTAAGTGACATATAAATCCGAACACCCAGTTTAAATGGTTTTATTTTAATAAGAGTTGGTGAATGTATTTATCTTACTGTAAATAACAAGCGAAAAAATTTTCAGCCGTATCAGTTAGACATTCCGGTTTTTATACTGCTTTTTTTTAATTCACTAATGCTCTAAAAATGAATATTTCAGCCGCAGTAAAGAATCAACGTTGGCGGATTTTGGTTCTTGACATCCTTTACGATCTGTTACGATGCCTAGAGTACGGAGACCTGTACGATTTCGTCAACTTAGTGAGTTTGATAGGGGCCGTATAGTGGGACTTCGGGAAGCTGGACTTTCTTTTCGGGCAATTGCAGTTAGAGTGCAAAGAAGTGTAGACACTGTGGTTAGGTGTTGTCAGGCATGGCTTCGAAAAGGCCGTACGCAAAGAGCAAGGGGCACTGGACGCCGCCGTAGAACAAAAGACCGTGAAGATCGCCGCCTAAGATTATTGGCCTTCGTTTCTCCACTACCAGGTCCATTGCAAATGAATGGTTTGCAGAACACGGAAGACCTATTGGTATGCAAAGTGTTTACCCACGAATGAGAAGTTTTGGCTTGTTTTCATACCGGCCACACTGGGTCCTCCCTTTAACTCGAGAACACCGACGAAATCGCCTTGAGTGGTGCAGACAACGGTCACTCTGGGATCAGTAATGGAACAGTATTGTCTTTAGTGACGAGTCTCTATTTTGTTTAGGCATGCACGATGGTCGTGCCAGGGTTAGAAGGCGACGTGCTGAAAGGAGGAATCTACAGTTTTTTGTTGAAAGACATGTTCATCACACTGTTGGAGTTATGGTTTGGGGTGCTTTAGCTTATGGTTCCAGGTCACCTTTAATCTTCATCAGAGGTAACATGAATGCGCAGCGTTATATCCACGAAGTTCTAGAACCCCATCTTGACACCCTGGCAGATCCAACTTTCCAACAAGATAATGCCCGACCATATGTTGCAAGAGTCACAATAGACTTCTTTCAACATAATGATGTCACATTGTTACCATGGGCACCAAGATCTCCCAACTTATCCTCAATTGAGTACGTGTGAGATATGATGGGTAGGAGATTGCTCAATTTGCAACGTCCTCCTCAGACTCCAGAAGCACTTCGAGAGGAGTTGGTGGTTGCCTGGAATGAGATACCACAGGAGGACATTGACCATCTGATCAGAAGCATGCCTAGGCGCGTTGGAGAATGCGTAGCACATCAGGATGCATCCACACATTATTAAAGGTCAAAGGGCTTTAAAGCAGTGCAATCATTTTGAAATTTTTATCATTTACTTATTATGCTTCATTAAGTACTTATACAAAATTTTATTAAAATAAAACCATTTAAACTGGGTGTCCGGATGTCACTTAGTATACAAAGAAGGATGTCAGTAGACCATCTATAGATCGTGTCTTGAGACCGTCTCCGGACTGCTTATAGACAAATTGCACAACTAGTATGTAAAAAGCTTAAGGATTAAGTCTCTGAACTGCCCATTAAACAAATCAAGTAAATGGTGCAAATACTAACACAATCAGGCACTTCTATTATGTCAGCAGTACGAGGCATGTATTCCTCCAGTCCGACGTGGATAACTTCGGTTATCTATGCTAAGCATTCAGAAACTGCTTTCTTCACAAAAACTAAGAGATAACATTTTGACAAAGGTGAACAAAAACAAAGATAAAACGTTGACATTATTGCAACAGCATACTTTTAAATATAGTCATTACGTTGCCAAAAAAACAAGTTACAGATATTATTTTTTCTGGCTGTAACATTTCTTATGTCACTGAGTACAATAATAATAAATTCGTCTTTATTAAGTACGTGAAAGCAGATCCAGATCTAACACCAGTAGCGAAGTTAATCCGTGGGCTATTCTTATACTTAATTGCTAAGTATTACGGAAAGGTAAACAGATTCCATGGCATGAGAAGAACAAGAAATACAAAATACAAGGTTACTTATACAGACTTCGAAGTTGAGTCATTTATTTTAACATTGAGTAGATCTGATCAAAAGAAATGTTTTTTCCTTTAACATTTTTGTGGTAAAATTAAAGTAACAAAGTTATAGCCCCTTAGAAGTTTGAGTACCGCCCTGTCTCAATAATAATATTATGTGCTCGTGTTTGGCAACAACGTATATAATCCGCCTTCATCGCATCGGAAACAAAAAAGCGAAAGAATTTGAAACGCTGATCACGATGTTTTTATTCAGTTAATGTGTCAGTCGGTAACGCGTGAGTGAATAGTGGTGTCTGTTGCGTGGCTCAAACGAAATAAAAAATGGCACATGTTTATGCGGATCGGTTTCCCAATCGAGTGCAACCAACCCCTCGTGCCTTTGTTAATGTAGTACAACGGGGTCGTGACTCAGGTGACTTAAGACCTCACAGGGGAGGGCATGCCGGTGCTCCAAGACCTCACGATCAAATACAGGTCCGCACTGAAATACTTGTCGGGAGGATACTTTATAAAACAAGGTAACATTTTTTTTTATTTTTTTTTTGTTTTTACACACATATTTTGGTGTATCTTCCTTCTACAATCATTATCTGAAAATTAATGACTCAACTTCAAAGTCACCCTGTATAACGTGAATGTCAAGGTAGAACATAGTACAAATTATGAATTGTTAGACATGTAAAGAAAAAGAAAGGAAAGAGAATGTATAATATGGAAAAATGTGGACATTAAAATTATGCAATGACTATGCACTATGCACACCAGGGTGTCCCAGCCTATTATTATAGTTATTCAGCTTTTTTTGGTCTGAGTTTCTTTTCAAGATTCTTTGTTCCATCTTAGCGATAAGCGAGTTGGGACTAAGCTTATAACTCAAATGTATTTAGGTCACATATACTGGCCGCTTCCATGGTATGACCTCTTCTTGCAAGAATTCATTCGCTTACCCCAATGTAGCTTGCCCCAAACTATTGTTGACCTCGTCATGAATTAAACTCACTGCATTCGTAATTAAAATGGTCGTATATGACCCTCTATTGTCCATTATCAGCTTTGATAAAAAAGGCACTCAAGAACAGTCACATCAACAACAATTCAACAACACAATATCGACGAACAGTAACAAGGGGAGAAAAATACTAAATGATCACTTGCTGAGTACCAAATAAGAAACGATTTTCTTCTAGATCATCCTTTCCTCTTTTAAAGTAGCGCCGACGACCGTCTAGGCCCAACCCACCCTCGTTTCCTTTTCACCCCCCGTTACTTCAGCAGATGGTGCTCGTCATTGTAGGAGCCCCGTTAAGATGTTCGTCGTCTACTGCATCAGTGCCTCTGAGAACGTATGCCTTTACGAAAAGCAAAACACAATCGTGGTGATGACCACTGTAAAGGAATATGAGCGGAAATACAAGGATTGGTAACCCGAGCGACGTAATGGCTTTATCTGGCCCATCGAAAACTCAGAAGTAAAAAGAAAAAATAATATTTATAATCCTCCTGTACTGTACTGGATTTGTCAAAAATAAACATTTAAAAACTGATGAAATAACTGATGACGTAATTGCATTTATCGATAGCGCTTCAAATATTTTTCAAAGCAGTTGATAGACCGACTGCATTTAATTTCTTAGGGAACTCTATCATAAATTCTAGATCCCAACACATTTGGCGACTTGCTTGCAAAATTATATTTGACCAAATGTACACGTAGATGGGCGTTTAGCCTTGTACTGACTACGTGGATGTGCTTAATAAAAAATTATGTTGATCGCGAAGGTATTATACTAAGTGACATATAAATCCGAACACCCAGTTTAAATGGTTTTATTTTAATAAAATTTTGTATAAGTACTTAATGAAGCATAATAAGTAAATGATAAAAATTTCATAATCATTGCACTGCTTTAAAGCCCTTTGACGTTTAATAAGGTGCACCCTGATGTGCTACGCATTCTCCAACGCGCCTAGGCATGCTTCTGATCAGGTGGTCAATGTCCTCCTGTGGTATCTCATTCCAGGCAACCACCAACTCCTCTCCAAGTGCTTCTAGAGTCTGAGGAGGACGTTGCAAATTGAGCAATCTCCTACCCATCATATCCCACACGTGCTCAATTGGGGATAAGTCGGGAGATCTTGGTGGCCGTGGTAACAATGCGACATCATTATGTTGAAAGAAGTCTATTGTGACTCTTGCAACATGTGGTCGGGCATTATCTTGTTGGAAAGTTGGATCTGCCAGGGTGTCAAGATAGGGTAAAAAATGGGGTTCTAGAACTTCGTGGATATAACGCTGCGCATTCATGTTACCTCTGATGAAGATTAAAGGTGACCTGGAACCATAAGCTATAGCACCCCAAACCATAACTCCAAGAGTGTGATGAACATGTCTT